GAATCTCTTGTTGAGTTCCTCACATACTTCACGGTCATTTCTTGTCTCTCCTCCTTCCTTCCTTAGCCTGATTACTTGGTCCTTGACTGTTGTTTTCCTCCTGATGTGGCTGTACAACAGTTTTGGGGTCAGATTTGGCTTTCGCTGCTATGTCATTTTCATATTGTCTTTGGGCCTCCCTTCTTATCTGTGCATATTCGTTTCTGGCTCTACGACTGCTCCCCTTATTCTCCTGGGTCCTTTGCCTTCTATATTTCTTCCATTCCCTAGCACACTTGGTTTTTGCCTCCCTGCACCTTTGGGTAAACCATGGGCTCATCCTGGCTTTTTCATTATTCCTGTTACCCTTGGGTACAAACCTCTCCTCAGCCTCCTTGCATTTTGTTGCTACATATTCCATCATCTCATTAACTGGCTTCCCTGCCAGTTCTCTGTCCCACTGAACCCAGTTCAGGAAGTTCCTCATTACTGTGTAGTCCCCTTTCTTGTAGTTCGGCTTCATTCGTCCTGGCCTTCCTGCTTCTCCCTCCACTTGTAAGCTCTACTGTGTATTCGAAGCTTAAAACCACATGGTCACTGGCCCCAAGGGGTCTTTCATATGTGATGTCCTCGATATCTGCACTACTCAAGGTGAATACTAAGTCTAGCCTTGCTGGTTCATCCTCTCCTCTCTCTCTCTTGTAGTGTCCCTTACGTGTTGGTACATGAAGTTTTCCAGTACCACCTCCATCATCTTAGCCCTCCATGTATCTTGGCCCCCATGCGGGTCCAAGTTCTCCCAATCGATTTCCTTGTGGTTAAAGTCACCCATGATCAGGAGCTTTGCCCTGCATGCATGAGCTCTTCTGGCCACTCTAGCCAGTGTGTCAACCATCGCTCTATTGCTCTATTGCTCGTCTCGTGCGTGTGTTTGCGTGTCTGTACTCACCTTGTTGTACCCATCTAGTTGTAGTTGCAGGGGTCGATTCACAGCTCCTGGCCCCGCCTCTCCACTGGTCGTTACTAGGTCACTCTTCCTGCTCCATGAGCTTTATCATACCTCTTCTTTAAGCTATGCATGGATCTTGCCTCCACTACATCACTTTCCAGACTATTCCACTTCCTGACAACTCTATGACTGAACAAATACTTCCTAACATCCCTGTGACTCATTTGAGTCGTCAGCTTCCAATTGTGACCCCTTGTTGATGTGTCCCATCTCTGGAACACACTATCTCCGTTCACCTTGTCGGTGTCGGAACGCTATTCTTAGGTTTGCCAGGCACCCATATCCTGAAGCAGTTATTTGTTCGATGTGTACCTCAGGAGATATGCTCGGTATTATACTCACCTCATAATTCTTTTCATTGAGTGAGGTTTGCAGTCTTTAGCTCCTTAGCCTGTACTCCATCTGCGGTCTTCTTTGATTTCCCCAGACGTCATGACTTTGTACTTGGTGGGGGGTTAAACTCCAGGAGCCAGTTGCTGGACGAGGCTTGTGTGTGTGTGTGTGGTGTGTGTGTGGGCTGGCGGTGTGTCAGTGTGTGTGTGTTGTGTGTGTGTGTGTGTGTAGTGTGTGTGTCGTGTGTGTGTGTGTGTGTGTGTGTGTGTGTGTGTGTGTGTGTGTGTGTGTGTATGTGTGTGTACTAACCTATTTGTACTCACCTATTTGTGGTTGCCGGGGTCGATTCATAGCTCCTGGCCCCGCCTCTTCACTGACCGCTACTAGGTCCTCTCTCTCCCTGCTCCATGAGCTTTATCATACCTCGCCTTAAAACTATGTATGGTTCCCGCCTCCACTACGTCACTTTCTAGGCTATTCCACTGCCTGACTACTCTATGACTGAAGAAATACTTCCTAACATCCCTTTGATTCATCTGAGTCTTCAACTTCCAATTGTGACCTCTTGTTTCTGTGTCCCGTCTCTGGAACATCCCGTCTTTGTCCACCTTGTCTATTCCGCGCAGTATTTTATATGTCGTTATCATGTCTCCCCTGACCCTCCTGTCCTCCAGTCTTGTCAGGCCGATTTTCCTTAACCTTTAATCGTAGGACAATCCCCTTAGCTCTGGGACTAGTCTTGTTGCAAACCTTTGCACTTTCTCTAATTTCTCGACGTGCTTGACCAGGTGTGGATTCCAAACTGGTGCTGCATACTCCAGTATGGGCCTGACGTAAATGGTGTACAGAATCTTGAACGATTCCTTACTGAGGAATCGGAACGCTATCCTTAGGTTTGCCAGGCGCCCGTATGCTGCAGCAGTTATTTGATTGATGTGCACCTCAGGAGATGTGTTCGGTGTTATACTCACCCCCATATCTTTTTTCTTGAGTAAGGTTTGCAGTCTTTGGCCACCTAGACTATACTGTGTGTACGGTCTTCTTTGCCCTTCCCCAATCTTCAAGACTGCATTTGGCAAGGTTAATCTCAAAGAGCCAGTTAATGGACTAGGCTTGTAGCTTGTCCAGGTCTTTTTGTAGCCCTGCCTGATCCTCTACCGGTTTGATTCTCCCCATTAACTACACATCATCTGCAAACAGGACACTTCTGAGTCTATCCATTCCGTTATGTCGTTCACATATACCAAAAACAGCACAGGTCCTAGGACTGACCCCTGTGGAACTCCGCTTGTCACAGGCGCCCACTCTGACACCTCGTCACGTACCATGACCCGTTGTTGCCTCCCTGTCAGGTATTCTCTGATCAATTGCAGTGCCTTTCCTGTTATGTGTGCCTGATCCTCTAGCTTTTGCAGTAACCTCTTGTGAGGGACTGTGTCGAAGGACTTCTTTCAGTCCAAGAAAATGCAGTCTATCCACCCCTCTCTCTCTTGTCTTACTTCTGTCACCTTGTCATAAAACTCCAGTAGGCTTTAACACAGGATTTTCCTTCCCCGAAACCGTGCTGGTTGTCGATTATACACTTGTTTCTTTTCAGTTGCTCCACCACTCTCCTCCTGATGATCTTCTCCATGACTTTGCATACTATACACGTTAGTGACACAGGTCTGTAGTTTAATGCGTCATGTCTGTCTCCTTTTTTTAAAAATTGGGACTACATTTGCCATCTTCCATACCTCAGGGAATTGCCCAGTTTCTATGGATGTGTTGAAGATCTTTGTTAATGGCACACAGCATCTCTGTTCCCTCTCTAAGGACCCACAGGGAGATGTTGTCTGGTCTCACCGCCTTTGAGGTGTCAAGTTCACATAGCAGCTTCTTCACCTCCTCCTTGGTTATGTGTACCTCATCCAGCACTTGATGGTGTACCTCCCTGTTCTGATTTCCTGGAGTCCTACCGGTTTCCAATGTAAATACTTCTTTAAACCTCGTGTTGAGCTCCTCACATACCTCTTGGTCGTTTTTTTGTGAACTCCCCATCACCCTTCCTCAGTCTGATTACCTGGTCCTTGACTGTTGTTTTTCTCCTGATGTGAATATACAACAGCTTTGGGTCAAACTTGACTTTCGATGCTATGTTATTTTCATATTTTCGTTGAGCCTCCCTTCTTATCTGTGCATATTAGTTTCTGGCTCTTCGGCTAATCTCTTTATTATCCTGAGTTCTTTATCTTCTGTACCTTTTCTAATCTCTAGTACACCTAGTTTTTGCCTCCCTACAACTTTGGATGATCCAAGGACTCGTTCTGTTCTTCCCAGTATTTCTGTTTCCCTTGGAACAAATCTCTCCACTGCCTCCTTGCATTTTGTTGTCACATAGCCCATCATTTATTGTACTGGTTTTCCTGTCAGTTCTCTCTCCCACTGAATGTCTTGCAGGAAGTTCCTTATTGCAGTTTGGTTTTTCCCATCCTATTCCTGCTACTATCTCCACTTGAAGCTCAACTATGTAGTCAAAGCATAGAAACACATGATCACTAGCTCCTAGAACATAAGAACATAAGAAAGAGGATCACTGCAGCAGGTCACTGCTGCAGGTAATCTACTCAAGATTGTTGGACTGACCACATCGACTCAAGGTTGAGGGACTGATTACCTCATTCTCCTCCTGTTTTTCAAGCTTCTCCTGTGTATGGACTGATGAAGCCACTGTGTGGCGAAACATTTCCTTAATAAAGATTCCCAAGAGTTGCACAAGTCTATTTACCACTTAATGGGGTTAAACTCCAGGAGCCATTTGTCGGACCATACTTGTGTTTGTCCAGATTCCCTTGTAATCTTAACTGATCCTCGCTCACTTGTATTCTCATCAGTTTCACATCATCAGCGAACAGTGACACTTCTGAATCTATTCCTTCCACCATGTCATTCACGTATACAAGAAACAGCACCGGGCCTAGGACTGAACCTTGTGGAACCCCACTCCGACACTTCAGCACGTACCAACACACGGTGTTTCCTTCCTGTCAGGTATTTCCTGATCCATTGCAGTACTTTCCCCTTTATTCCTGCCTGCTCCTCTAATTTTTGCACCAGTCTCTTGTGTGGTACTGTGTCAAAAGCCTTCTTGCAGTCTAAAAAGATGCAATCTACCCATCCCTCTCTCTCCTGTCTTACTTCTGTTACCTTATCGTGTGTGTGTGTGTGTGTGTGTGTGTGTGTGTGTGTGTGTGTGTGTGTGTGTGTGTGTGTGTGTGTGTGTGTGTGTGTGTGTGTGTGTGTGTGTTTTGAGTGTGCCTACGCTTGCCTTTATGAGTATAACGTTATAACTTAGCAGTAAAGTACCATCACATGACAATATGAAGAATTATGTTACCAAATTATATTATATTTTTTTTGTCTCGTATGATAATTACAAGGAAGCATTATATATATCTAGTTTATGAAATTTGCAATTATGCATTAAAATATCAAAATATGACACTAAAAATAATTCACTATAATACCATTTTATGAAATTTACAATGGCATTTACAAAGAATTTTAGCTCCATAATATGACTGAATTGATTGGCATTTGTCTACTGATAGAATTGGATATTTAGTAATAACGATTTAATGTAATTAATTTCTAAGTCTGAATTATTGAACTAAATTATTGTTTGTAATAATTAACACAGAGCCGAGCCCGACGCACCTTCCACAGAGCCGAGTCAGACGCACTCGCCGTATAGCTGAGCCAGACGTACCTTCTGCGGAGATAAGCCAGACGAGCCTAAACCGCGATAAAGCAAACGTATACACCATAGAGCTTAGCCAGACGCACCTGCCACAAAGATAAGGGAAATGCACTCACTGTAGAGCTGAGGCAGATGCACCTTCAATAGAGCTGCAAGACTCAACTTTCTCAAAGCTGCCTCAGATGCACCTTCAACAGAGCTGCCAGACGCAACTTCCTCAAAGCTGCCTCAGATGCACCTTCAACAGAGCTACCAGACGCAACTTCCTCAAAGCTGCCTCAGATGCACCTTCAACAGAGCTGCCAGACGCAACTTCCTCAAAGCTGCCTCAGATGCACCTTCAGCAGAGCTACCAGACGCAACTTCCTCAAAGCCGCCTAAGATGCACATTCCACTGAGCTGAACCTGAAGCACCGTCTCATTCACCTAACCAGGAATGCACTGCCGCTAGCTCAATGCCCATCGTATGCTCTCATAACACCATCGTCTACCATGTACTACCGCAAAACCAACCTAAAATCTACTGAATGCCTGTCAAATATAGTCTTAATTCACAGAAACGTTTTGTAAACACACACCATTTACTGACTTAATCTTACCAAATGTTGTTTATTCTCATCCCCAGCAGTTGTTGTCTTTAAACCCACCAAACACTGTTTTAGCACCCACCAAATGTTGTCTTGGCACCCAGTAAGCGTTGTCTTAACTTCCACCAAATGTTGTCTGCACACGTACCAAACACTGCCTTGACACCCACCAAACGTGTCTGAACTCCCACTGAAATTTGTGTGAATTCCCACTGAACTGTGTGAAGTCTCCCTGAAAGTTGTCTTAACACAAAACATTGTTTAAACACATACCAAACTTGGAATGAAAAACACGAATGTGCAGAATACCTGAAATTACAAAAACGGTTCCTGTATTAGCTATGACTCCCCTAGGCGGCTGCCACTTTTAAGAGACTATATATACACACCATCAAACACTACAAAACAAATAATAAAATCTGCTTCGTGAGGAAAAGTTAATATAACAGAAATGGAGGATTTTAGATAATTTAAAAAAAAAATATTATGCTTGTAAGGTGACTTTTTTTTTAAATTACAAAGAAAATGGAGGAAATCTTTTAGTACAGAGTAAATAATTTCGGAAAAAAAAAGCTAGGTAAGAATTGTTTTTCAGCTTCATACACAAATAAAAGAAGAAAAAACTGAAGATAAAGAAAAAAAAATCTAAAATAACTGAATCAGAGAAAAATCAATGAACGTATTTTTCTCATTAAAGAGTTGAAAAAACCTGAAGAAAACATGAAAAAGATGAAGGAATTAAACGATAAATCAATTGTTAAAACATGTGACAAATCAGAAAATGGGAATAAATCTTGGAATTCATGTATTTTTGTAGAACAGAATAAAATACCAATAATTAATGAGATGGAAAAGAGCTCTTCAACTACGTCAGAAAGGAAAAAAAGTTTTTCCAAGATTTTAGTGAAAAGGCAACATAGTTTAAAAACCAAGTCAACGTTTATTTGTAAGTTAATACCAGGAGAACGAATGAGCGGCAATAACCCTCAGTCACAGATTTTGCCAGAGACTGGATCGTGGGGGAATCCCAAGTTATGCATCAAGAGAGTTGTATCATCTCTAAGGATCATCCTCGACATTCTATCCATTGGGATACTCTCTTTTTGGCAAAGAATAAATACTAACCTAAAATTCATTACGTCTGGTATTTCACAGATTGGTAAAGCATTTATATCCTTGTTGATCGAAGTCAGCCCAAGAAAACTGGTAAAACATTTCTTGACTTTTTTCTGCTACATCATCCCCAGTCTGAAGTATCGTTCACTCCCATTAGTCCTCTGCAACTTAACTTCACCGAGGAGGATTAAGAAACTGGTAAGTCTGTACCTGAGACACGCACCGGTGCGTATGATAGCCTGGCACTCTAACCTGTGCCTTCGGGCAAATAGCCCCGGCAAGAAGCTTATTAGAAATATGAGCCAGTTGCTTCGCTTTCCTACATTATTGCTGGAAACTATATTCATGGCTGCTGTGTGTATCCTCAACGCTCTTTCCAGGTCCCTGGATTTCTTCAGTGGTAACGCTACAAAAGAGGTCAGAAAACGCCCATCTTTCTCATCTTGGAGACAAATGATGAAGCAAAACTCTGTAAATAATGGCCAAAATGAATGTCAAGAAGCTCGATGACAAAGATATTTATTGTTGGTGCACGCAAGTAGAGAGTGTTGTGATTGCTTATTCTATGAACTTATACTTGCTTGCAGGGATTGACGCTCATCTCCTTGCTCCAGCTTTTGACTATGTCAGCTGGCGTAGTTGATGCTTTGTCCAGTGGATATTTTTGAACCTTCTTGTAAATCCTGGTAAAGAAACTCCATCAAGCTTATTTAATTTTATCACTATTATGGAAATTAGCGTGCATAAACCCCAAACATATGCTAGTAAACATTAAGTGTTTAGTATCTTAGGAAGCGATATCAGCATATGGCAACTCAGGGGAGAGTTGAGAACCAGTTTAACAAAATTACTTTTTCCTTGAGAAGCGACAGAGAGAGGGAGGTTCAACATGGAAGCTGCGCTAAGCTGTTCGTGTCAACATCAGTATCTCCTCTCACCTCACAAAATACTCATCTGGCATTGCAGTAGAAGCAACTGTAGAGGCCTTCCCTACAGAGATAACTACCAAAGAATTTATTGCACCCTCGGTTCCAAGCCAAAGTTACTAACACATCAGTTGATTACAGGAACCATTCATGACCTTATGGGTCAAGTTACCCAGGGTTAATCAACTGGGAACTTTAGGTAGGGACATCCTCCTCTCCAACCTAAGTCTGTTCCATTTATGCATGACGAGGTGGGACCTTGCTGGTTCTTAGTTCCATTAGTTGCAAGAAAGGAGAAGATTCAGTATATCACTTGTGGGGATAGAATTGTTAATTTTACAATAACCACATCAGCGGTGATTGCATCAAGAGTCGAACACTTCACAGGTTTCTACAACCATCGTCTGAGTAAAAGTTCTGCTTCTCTGGGTGTTTATTCGATAGCTCGTTCTGGTTCCTATCAATCAGACCGCCGAGTCAAAAACGGGTAACCAACGATCGCTTCTCTGGTGTCATAGGGCCATGGGCTACCATAGCTCTCCCACCAAGATGATGATAAATACCCAGATCTGGAAATTTTTTCTAACTAACAAGAATTTTGCGCTTTTTTATTTGCCGAGTCATTACAAAGAAAGCCATTAGCATACAAAGAATAGCCATTGTTATTCACAATGGCTAACCTGTATGCAGGCCATAACATGAAGGGCAGGATTCTCCTTATTTTCTATAATTTTACAGTGATAAGTGATCCTGAATCTTTAAGGTAGTATTGATCATTAGATCAAGTATCATAAGTAGCTTTTTCATAAAATGTCCAGGAAGGTGAATAGCAAAATACAAACAAATAATTTAAAAACGTTTAATAAGTCCATGGAGTAACTTTGTACATATAACAAAACAAACAATATAAAAAAAAAAATATTAGTCTACTCAGTGTCGGATAAATCTGATTTTCATAAATTTACACTACTTTAAAGACAGAAATAAGGAGTACATTTACTTTGTGCAGCTGTTACATTAACGTTAGTTATGTGCAAGTTACAATTAATCCACACATCGACAACTCCCTAATTATGTACAGTATACGTACCATACAAACCATACCACGGGTGGGGTTAGAACCCCGAGATCATAGAGTCGGTCTGGAGTTTAATGACTGATCGCGGGTTCTAACCCCACGCATGGTTGGTTTGTTTGCAATCGTGTCATTACGATTTCGTGAGTCATGTCCGACAATACAACTTTGGCATACATGGGCGAACATGGGTCAGCAGCAAACGCCATGAAGATCCAAATACCACGACAATATCTCAATCACTGTTATACACTGTGGAAGTTCACAGACAAAAGAGAAACAATAAGATCAAATAAACTCTGCACAGCACAGTCAAGACATAAGTACATGCAACCATCAGAAGAAAAACAACGAAGTCCTAAATATGATTCACAAATACGAGACGCATCTCTCTGCCTCATCAACAATGTGAGATCTCAGGAGAACCCATAAGCACAACTGAAGAGAGTACTGCTGGAGTGTGTTGCTAGGCGTCCGTCTACCACGGTATTTTGACAAGGAAAAATAACTAGTGAGAACAACGGTGCCACACTAGGCGAAATTCTGGAAGCATAGATTAAGCTGCATGGGTAAGGAAAACCCAACAAAAATACTGGTTTTACAATAGTGAGAAGTGGAGGAACCACCCACTAGAAATGAAATATAATTTATTTGAAAAAGAGCACGGATATCATTCCAGCTTTAGACGACAATAAATGTATTGGTGAGAAAGCTGAATATATTAAAATAATAATAATAATGATACAAAAATGAACACTAAAACAATAGAATTGTACATATTCACATAAAATATGCTTAGCAGCAAAATTATAGTATTGTCTGGTATTGTTTGTATTAATTTATAAAGAAGAACATAATGTGAAACAGTTTGCCCATGTCTTTGCAGTTATTTAACAAAATTATATTTATTCATGGAGATGTGCTAAACTCGTAAGGGTAATACAGCTCTCGGGAAATGGAAGGAAATTCAGTTTTAACAAAAGAAAGGATTTCATTGGACCTAGAGCTAGAAAATAGAAAGACATTCCTCTTAGACCCCCCGACCTCCCACTTGATAGGTACGATATCAGTAGCCCTGAGTATCTTGTATGACCCGATCATATGTTCTACGAGTGAATTGTGGTACATTTAACATTACCTGGTAATTTATGTCAATATGATCATAAACAAGTCTAGAGTACTTCTGAACATTCTCGAGTTATCTAGAATACGTTTATGTACAGCCTACACAGTGAGAATTGTTGGATCTGAGAGGGACGTGACCTCTCAGTGATACATTCTCTCTTGTACCACTCTACACCACTCCTTCCGACAGTATACAAGTCTCTACACTGTCGCTTGATCTTCAGAATGTTTCAGACTATGGAACAGAACTCTTCTCAAGGCTGAGGGACTGACAACATCAAATCTACGACTTCAAGGGTGATGGACTGACTACATCGTCTTCATATCTCTGCTGCTCCTGCCTACTTTCTGTACTCGACTCAAGAAACCTACTGTGTAGGCGAAACGTTTCGGAATAAAGTTGCCTAACTGTTGTCCATGTGTCTTACCTAACAGCCTACACACTGAAGCAGAATACTCGATGCTTGGCTTGATGTGTAGAAATAATATAAAAAATAATTCCGTGAAAACAGTGAAAATTGTGAAGTTGGTGAAAATAGCTCTTAAATTTCACAGACATTTATAAATTGCTGCTGTTATTGAAAGCTTGTGTGAATTAGAAGGTTAAGTTGAAAGTTTATCTGGTATTATTACGTGTCATTACCTTGCAAGATATATTTACCTCAGTTATCTGTGTCATTACTGTGCGAGTAGCATTTGCCCGAGTGTACTATGTTATTTACGAGTTTCATTTCCCTACATGAATTATCACGTTATTGTTTTGTTCAAAGTATTTACCTATGTGAATCAGGTGAGTTACTACTTTGCTACTTGTATTTGCCAATGTGATTTATTACTTTGCTGATACGAGTTACTTATGTTATTATTTTTTTAACTGTAGGTGCCTGGTAAAGTTATCTAATGTCATTCCATACTACGGGTGGATATAGAACTCGCGATCAATCATTAAACTCCAGACCGGCGTGTTAGCCGCTGGACCAGCTGGCTACAATAAGATCTGTAGATGAATGGTTCAGAGAACCGACATGTTGATAAATTAGACACATGTGCAACTCTTGGGTATCTTTATTGAGGAAACGTTTCGCCACACAGTGGCTTCATCAGTCCATACAAAGGAGAATCTTGAAGAACAGGAGGAGAATGAGGTAATCAGTCCCTCAACCTTGAGTCGATGTGGTCAGTCCATCAATCTTGAATAGAATACGGCATACGTGCTGAGAAGGAGCTTATAAACCGTTGGCAGGAGAGGTGCAGAAGTCATAGGTCGTGTAACATTTGTTCAATGTTGAAGTAGGTCGTGCCCAAGAATTAGGCAAGCGAAGAATTCCCAAGTATTAAGATCCCAAGAAGTTGGGCACGACCTACTTCAACATTGAACAAATGTTACACGACCTATGACTTCTGCACCTCTCCTGCCAACTGTTTATAAGCTCCTTCTCAGCACGTATGCCGTATTCTATTCAAGATTGATGGACTGACCACATCGACTCAAGGTTGAGGGACTGATTACCTCATTCTCCTCCTGTTCTTCAAGATTCTCCTTTGTATGGACTGATGAAGCCACTGTGTGGCGAAACGTTTCCTCAATAAAGATACCCAAGAGTTGCACATGTGTCTAATTTATCTACAATAAGATTCATCCAACTAGGTATATTTATTCACCATAGGAAGGCTAGCATAGGCACCACTGTGACCACAAATGCAACTTTTTTTACTGACTAATCTCTCGTCAGAGTGGCCGTGACGAACTCTAGCTCAACTCCCCTAAAAGCCGTCATCATGACATCATGACACTCTCTGATCCCGGATTCTATCCCCGCCCGTTTGTTTGCAATTATGTCATTACGATTTCGTGAATTATCTATGTCATTACTTTGCTAGCTGTGATGAATGGTTTTGATAACCGGGATCACAGTGGATGGTTTTGAAAGCCGGGATCACAGTGGATGGTTTTGAAAGCCGGGATCACAGTGGATGGTTTTGAAAACCGGGATCACAGTGGATGGTTTTGAAAACCGGGATCACAGTGGATGGTTTTGAAAACCGGGATCACAGTGGATGGTTTTGAAAACCGGGATCACAGTGGATGGTTTTGAAAACCGGGATCACAGTGGATGGTTTTGAAAGCCGGGATCACAGTGGATGGTTTTGAAAGCCGGGATCACAGTGGATGGTTTTGAAAGCCGGGATCACAGTGGATGGTTTCGAAAACCGGGATCACAGTGGATGGTCCCACTGTGATCCGCCTCCTCCTGCTTCGACTCACCTGACTGCAGTATATAATCCACCTCTCTGGCATTATGCTGTTCTTCCTACAAGAGTGATGAACTGAACTCATCGATTCCAGGCTGAGGGACTGATTACCTCAAACTACTCCTCTCCTAATACCTTTCTGCTTTGAACAAGACTGATGAAGCCACTGTGTGGCGAAACGTTTCTTCAATAAAGATTCCCATATGTTGCCTAAGTGTCAATTCTTCAACTTTGCTAGCCATATTTTCCTGGGCAACTTACATGTGTTATTTTTTAGTTTCCTTTGTTTGACAATTTAAGTTGTCATTAATTTGCTAGATGCATTTGCCTAGGTAAGTTTCAAGATGTTATCTGGATCGTGAACAACCTCTTGACTTACTGTCATTGACGTTTAAGTGAGCCATATAAAATTCTATTGTGCCATTAATGGGCGAACTTTGATTCTGGTGAAGGACATGCGATTATGGAACTGGAACTACCCCTTCCGTTCGATGCGCCAATCCGAATTCCTCCCATTCTGCAAGAATTGCACGATCCAGAAGAGTTTAGCCCCTCAATTTGAATGTAAAAATAACACACGTGTGTGTGTGTGTGTGTGTGTGTGTGTGTGTGTGTGTGTGTGTGTGTGTGTGTGTGTGTGTGTGTGTGTGTGTGTGTGTGTGTGTGTGTGTGTGTGTGCGCGCGGCGCGCGCGCGCGCGCGCAGGTCTTTAATTTAGAAATAACAAATGGGCAGACAACTAGTGTTTGCGTGTCATTTTCTTTACTTCCGAGTATCACATCCCCGGTGTTTAGCACTGTTCTTATCAGAGTCTGTTGAGTCATGTAACTACATGTGTTGAAAGTGTTTAGGATACCTGTGTCTGTTCCGTGTTTTTGAGTATATTGTACCTGTGACTGTTGAGTATTGCAACCCGTCCTGTAAAACAATACCAGTTTGTAAACAACCAATGTAATATTGTTCAGTAAAATTAATTCTTCATCCGTATCTATTAATTTCTGATAACTTATTAATTTATCCTTTGGTGAACATCAATTATGAATTAATAATAATTATTTTTATTATAATAAACACAGTGCTAAACCACAAGGATCATAAAACATTGTAGAAAATGCTGTGTTTGATTTTATAAGAAATGAGACGCAGTTGACAGTCCAGTTCAAAGACTGTCTCTGCAGAGCAATACTCAAATATAATTCAGAACTGCCTTGATGACAATTATTATTATAATTATAACTATGTGCTAAACCCACGAGTGTTATATAGCAGTGATGAAAATATATTTTTTAATAAAAAATGCATCTCAACTAATACTTTACAAAAACAATGAAGAGATGAGGATTTTTTTATATGTTGTGAGGCACTAAGAGAGTCTGAAATTACAATGAATGTTGAGGTAGGTAGGGATGCAAAAGATATAACAATGACGAGGGAAGCAAAAGGTATAACAGTGATGAGAATTTTATTTGCTCAGCAATAAAAATATTAACAGAGTCTAATAGATTAATGACCCAATACAACTGTCTGAAAAAACTGCTGCAAGACGTACACCGTAAGTTGGTTTAGAACCGTCAGTGTACATTACAACAACTACAGAATGACATCGGAAGTGGTTAAGAAAAAGAGAGCCAGACGGTTCATTAGGCAACTGAATTCTCGCGCACAGAAGTAAGGAAAAACAAACATGTACTGTCGGAACTTCCCATGGAAAAAGAAGAAAGTTAAATGCATGATGTACATACAGAGAGAATGTAAAGAAAGATCGTAAAGGTCATTATAGTGGACAAAATATCGAAGACAACGGGCATAACGCCGATGGTGCAAAGACGGAACATTAGCTGTGTCTATGGCTCTCGACCGGAGAGGAATGAGAAGCACATAAAAACAAACGCAATCCCTCATAAATTGGAACAAATTTAGTTAGAACCTGCATAACAACTCTTCGTCACATCCCAGTCTCGATAAGATTAAGGAAGAATTAGGAAGAAAGTTCTTGCTTCAACCCTCTATGAAAGATGGACAAATGTTTTAAGGTTCTGCTGGCTATGGCAAGTTTCTTTCAGGGAGATAATCTTAGGTTTCCATGACATACGTCAAACTAAAAGGCCATGAAACGGCCGTATCACGTTCAAAAATACAGGGTCCGTACTGGTATAACAAGGCATTAGAAACAACAGTGGGTCTAATAAAAGTAATCTTGTGTGTTTTAGTAACAAATAACTTATCATTTTGGTTAGCAACCAAAATGCTTCTGAAAACAGAGTAGCAATTTCCAACTAATTTTAGGTCCCTCATAATGAATATCATGGTTAAAATTGTTTGTTAGCTCTACCTGACATGTACACCTACCCGTCACAAAAGGTTCCAAAAGTCTTCCAGTAGTGTGTTTCTTAACACACTTACAGTCTCACTGCCCTTCATTATTGATCCAGCAGTCATAGAAGGTGGTTGTGCAGCGCAAGTTTCTATTTTGATTTGAAAGGTTATTTTCTTATCCAAAACACTTTTTAAACCAAGTACTACTGCATTCTATGTGAATGGGACGGTCGCGCAAGAGATTCCCACTACATCAGAAGAGACTGGCCACCTCGTCAATCATTGGAGTCTAGGATGAAAAATGCTCAACATCCACCTTTCATTGAACCAAGCAAAATTTTGCTTCCACCACTACACACAAATCTTGGGCTCGTGAAAAATTTTGTAAAAACTATGGACAAATCCGGTCAGGGATTCAAGTATTTAGTATCAACATTCCCGTCACTGAGCGACGCTAAGATAAGAGTGGGAGTCTTCAATGGTCCTCAGATTCGAGAGCATCTTAATGATGGTGAATTTGAATCAGACCTTCATGGGGAGTAGAAAGCTGCTTGAGAAGCATTCAAGTTAGTGTCGAAGGAATTTCTCGGAAACAGAAGGGAAGACAAGTATGAAGAATTGGTGGAAAAAATCATCAAGGTTTACTCGAACATGGGGTGTAAGATGTCACTTAAAATCCACTTTTTCGACTCGCGTTTAGACTTTCGTCCAGCAAACTGTAGGACAGTTAGTGACGAACAAGGTGAAAAATTTGACCAAGATATTTCAGACATGAAAAAATGGCACCAGGACAAGTGGGGCACAAGAATGCTTGCATACTATTGCTGGACATTGGCAAGATTTGATTCTTCAGCCTACTATAAGCGTCAAACAAGAGTTTAGAGTTTAAAACATATTGACTCATATTGTACGATATAATAATTAAATATTACTCATCTCGTATCTTTAAACCTATAGCCAATAAGCAATTTTAAAGATGATAATTGGATTCAGGACATGAAATTACATGAAAATTAACTATTCTCATTTATGAAGCTTACAACGTATCTAAAGTTGTTGTCCAGCGATCCGAGTCTCTGGAGTCATGTACTTTAAGGACACAAGTGCAACTAATGTGACATTTATTGTGGCAACGTTTCGCTCTCCAGGAGCTTTATCAAGCGAAACGTTGCCACAATAAATGTCACATTAGTTGCACTTGTGTCCTTTTACTTTACATATTGTCGGTAATTCTACCAACTTTATTACAGTCATGTACTTATATGTGTTGGGATACCTGTGTCTGTTTTGTGGTTTTGAGTATATTGTACCTATGACTGTCGTGTATTGCAACCCGTCCTGTAAAACAACAGTTTGTAAACAACCAGTGTAATACTGTTCAATGAAATATTTAATTCTTCATACGTTTATCTTATTAATTTCTGATGACTTGTTGATTTATCCTTTGGTGAACATGTAATACATCAAAATACAAGTACTTTTTATTACAATAAATTGAGGTACTTATTTTTGTACAGTAAATTGATGTAAGAGACCTGGAACAACAGCAAAATCCATATTTATTATGTTCTTCACATACATATTTTCCCAAAAAATCATGAAGCAAATATGAACTATTATATTTAAGTAAGGAAATTTAACAAAAAAAAAAAGTGAAAAAAAAATTAAACTAATTTTTATTTTTTAGGAGACGTATTGTAAAGTCATCTATTTGCTTTCTCAAAATGTATTTCTTTAAATATATTATATGGTTGAAACATCATTTGCAACAATTCCAAATAACTGTTCCCAGCATATTAGCTAAACATTGCTTAAAATAATTTTTCCGAATTAAACAATGTTGTAAACTGTCATGTTTGGGGAAAAATACTATGAACGTACACACACAAATGGTTATAACTATGACCATAATTTTTAGAAGGGTGGACCGGTAAGCCAGCGGAAGGCCTCGTTCAGATGACCAAAAGCTCCATCGACGGGTCATCACCTCACTAAGACCTGCATCAGGAAATATTTGTCATGTTTCCTGACGAACCTTACCTAACCTAACCCTGAACGTACACACCAGCTCACCAACTGGCCAAGACCCGGGCAGGGACACTACCATGAACCTCATCCAATCCTTGAACGCACGCAATTTTAATTTGCTGGATTATCCTTGGTAATTTAAGCATGATATTAGGAAAGTATACATATTAAATTACCTACCAAAACGTGACACTCAAACTTAATTAAGAATTAATCATACGAGCAGCTTTAATACGCTTGGGTCAGTGGTCACCTGCTGTCATACCTGCCTAAGCTCTCTGGGAGTTAGCGTGGGCTGTTACCAAGCACCATGGCTTGTTGTAGTGTTTTAGAATCTCAGGTTCAAGTGTTGAAGAAGGAAATTCTACTTCTTCAGGTGGAAAATAGGAAGCTGAAGCTTCGCATAGATGAGACTGGGAGCGAGTGTGAGAAAGATTTAGCTGGTAAGGAAGGAATGGTCACCAGCAGTGAGAGTGGCAGCCACTTTAAGTGGCAAGTGGTTCACAGTTCAGGAAGAAGGAAGATGAGGAGAGTTAATAGAGAAGATGTGAAGGTAGGAAATCGATTCTCTGTTCTCCAAGACAAGTGTACTTCAGTGGTTAGTGAGGTTAAAGGTACCACTGATCCCCCTGCTAATCAAGGTAAGAATATTTTAATAGTAGGCGATTCTCAGGTAAGATATATGTGCCGTGCATTTTGTAACAGAGACAGAAAGGTCAGAAAGAGAGTGTGCCTTCCTGGAGCTGGTGTTGGTGACTTAGTCAGAAGGTTGGATAATATTATGGCAGGTACTGGGAACAAGCCCATTATCTGTCTTAGTGCTGGAGGTAATGACATTGGGAAGGGTAGGAGAAAGGAGCTGCTG